AATGCATACATACAGAGACACAGTACAACATTTGGGTCAAAATGAAAGCAGGTACACGTGGAAAATTCATAGCAGCAGATGCCCACACTCAGAAAAGAAAATGAGCCCAAATAAACATCCTAATGATGAATCTTACAATCCCAGAGACCTAAATCATCCTTGGCATCAGCCAATTCCCAGGGCCCCCTGGTCTATCTCAACGCTGAACTGCACCCCACAGGAAGCTACCAATCCCTCTGCCTTCCGTTGCCCCAGACAGGATGACTTGGGGATGCACGTAAGGCACCCTTCTGTATGGCTCTCAGCAGTCATCTGCCTTGAATGGGCTGAGCTCCTGTGGAACCCTTGTCTTGGAGAGTGGCTGAGCTCCCCCTCGGTGACATCTCAGTGCTGCCACTGACGTACTTTGTCTGATTGATTCCACCTGACCTTACTGAAGAGCTTCATCTCTGGGCCCTGGGAATCTAGAAAAAGAAGGGCAAGAAAATTGCAAAGTTTGTACAAGGGAGGAAATTACAAAATTAGAGTTGAAATCAATGCGATGGAGACTGAGAAAGACACAATATCAAATTGAAGTTGTTTTTTTGAATACATAAATAAAATCGAATAACATTTTTGCCAATGTCTAAAACATGAAATAGAAGGCTCCCATCCATGCAATTAGGCAAACAAAAGGTGAAGTTGGTACAGATTGAGCCTAAACCCATAGGATCATAAATACATAATTGAACCTGTCCTCTAATAAAGTACAAAAGACAGGAAAAATGGGTAGATTCCTAGATACATATGAATTTCCACGATTAAATGAAGGTATTACCAATTACAGTCACTCAAATTGAAAACATGATGAAAAATTTACCTGCAAAGCAGAAGTCCTGAGGGTTTCCCTGCTGAATTCTATAAGACATCTAGAGAAGAATTATTGCTGCTACTCTTTAAACTTTTCAACCAAATCAAAGGAAAAGCAATTCTTCCAAATTCATTGCTGAAAACAAGTGTTAGATTTACTGTAAAGCTGGAGAATGACCCAACCAAAAAGGACAACTACAGACATATCTTCCTAATGAACATAGACACAAAAATCCTCAGTAATATACTGGCAAAGAGAATAGATGGTAATGAAGATCATGCACCCTGACCAAGTCAGATTTATTCCAGGGAGGCAGAGATGTTTCAATACATGTAAATCAGTACATGTGATATACTATATTAACAGTGAAGGACAAAAACCATATGATTATCTCAACAGATGCAGAAAAAGCATATGAGAGTTCAACACATTCATGATAAACTATGGAAAAGTGGAATAGATGGATTTTTTATCTCAATTTGATAAAGACTATATTAAAAACCTACTGCCAACATATCAAATAGCCAAAAACTGAAAACTGCCAAAATTAGGAACAAGACAAAGATGTCCAGTGTCACCACTCCTGTTCAATATAATTGTATAGCCATTAGCCACAACAATTAGAAAAGAAAGGAAGAAAGATGGGAATAAGGGAAACTCACTATTTGCTGATACTATATTCTACATACAAAATCCATAAAACTGCCAAAAGACTGCTAGAGTAATTTACAGATTTAGTAGAGAAGTTGGATACAAAGTCAACACTCAAAAATTAGCCAAAAATAACAGACTCACTGATGGAGAAATTAGGGAAATTACTCTTTTCACAATAACATAAAAAAAAAATCTAGGAATCAATCAAATGAAGGAGACAAAAGCCCTGTACACTGATTATTACATTGCTCTGAAAAAAGAGAAGAGGATATAAGAATATCGAAATACATCCTTTGTTCCTGGGTAGAAAGAATCAACATAGTGACAGTTGGCATAGTTCGAAAACTTTGATAGAGATACAGTGAAATCTCTATTGAAATTCCAACAGTGTAATTTACAGAACTTGAGAAAAAAATCCCAACATTCATTTGGAATCAGAAGATATCTACAATAGTAAAAAACATTCTATGAAACAGAGATATGGCAGGGGGTATCACAATTCCCCACCTGAATGTTTATTACAAAAGAATAAGACTAATAAGAGTCCATGAAATAATATGAGAAAGTAAAAATGATATTTTAAAAACTTCACAAAATTAATGACAAAACTTTCCAAAGAGAGCAAGAGTATTGGACATAGAGATTAGTGAGATATATAGGACTCAGAGTAATCATGATCACAAAAAATCTATAGCCAGATGTATAATACCCACAATATCAGAAATTCAGCAGGAGAAGAAAATGCTACAAGCAATTAGAGACAAAGAAATCACATGGTAAAGAAAGCTTATCAGAATGATAGCATACTTTTCAACACAAAGATTCAAGTTGAGAGACTCCAAAACAATATTCTCTAACCTAGACTGATGTATCCTGCAAAACTATCATTAAAAATTGACGTAGAAATACTTTTATGACAACATCTGAGAAATTTCACGAATACCAAACGCCAAAAAGTTGTAAACAATATCCTAGAAAAAGACAATGAAGGTCACAACTCCTTCAGGCCCAACAGCAAATCCATTTGGCAAGCCAAAAAATAAAAGGGAGATATACAAAAAGTTCAAAACTGCCTGGAACAGAAAAATTCCATGATGATGTTAAACCATCAATGATAAAGCCTTCCAGTTGAATAACATTCTCCTTACATGCCAGTGGATCACACAGAACATTATAGAATAAATTAAACAGTTTTTACAAATAAAATGATAATGCCTATATCACATAGAAGAATCTATGGAACACATTGCAAAGCACTTCTATGCCAGAAATTCATTACTGTGAGTGCCCACACTCGGAATACAGAGGGAGTGCAAATAACCTAATTTGAACTGATCATTTTACAGTTGGATCAATGCTTTCTTAGGGCAACAACCCAATTTTGTCTTTTTCTCCTGGACTGTATCATTTAAAGGTCATATTAATTTACAGTATTCCCACACTGGGTATCTTCTATTAAAAATATAAAGTATTAATGAAAAATTTAATAAGACAATACCTAGGAAGATATTTTGTGTTCATGTGCTGGAAACATTAATATTTTTTAAATGTGCATGCTTTTGCAAACCAGTTTTCACATTGCTATCTATGAGGAGCTCCAGTGGCACAATCAGTTAGCACCTGGTGCTTATACCACAATTGCTACGAATTCCAAGTGACATTTTTCTGGAAAGTAATATAAAATGTCTTTTGAGTATGCAAGACACCAAATAATGAAAAAAAAATGATGAAAAATAAGATGGATTCATACTATCTGATTTCAGAATATACTACATTATTCTAAAATATTTATTGGCAAAAAAAAGAAACATGTATAGATTGCCTTGAAATGATATACAGGCAATTGATTTTTTAATCAAAGTTTTCAGAACATAGCATTGTTAAAGACAACACTTATTAAAAATAAATGTTGGGCTGGGTATTTAGCTCAGTCGATATGGTGCCTGCCTTACAAGCAGAAGGAGCCAAGTTCTCTTCCCAGAAACAAGTAAAAAAAAAAGAATTAACATGCATAAAAATGAAACTATATCTTTAGATATAAAAATTCTAAAGTGGTTCAATGTCTTTAATATTTTACTTGACACGTTAAATACTAGATAATACTAGAAAAGCTGCATGACTGTGGTCCTGGCTCTGTTTTTTGGATCGGTCACAATACACACAATGTACAAATAAAATCACATAATACTAAAATCTATACAATAAAAGACAAGTGCCATGGGATAGAAAACCCCAGTGGATTACATGTATGAAAGTTTTTCGGATCCAAAAATGGACATATGTTAATAGTTGACATGAAGCATTATCTAGAAAAGGAAAAATTGAGAAATTTAACATCACAAAATTAAAAACAAATTTAAATTTAAAAATTTAAAATTCTACACACAACCCTTTGAAGATGATTTTTAAAAGAAAAAAACAAGTGATACCCTCGTGCAAATATTTGCAAAACATCCAAGACCTGGCATGTAAAGGTACAAGATGTCAGTAATGAATGTAACTGTACTGCCTACCTAGAATGTACCAATAAATTGAAGCTGAAAAAAAAATTGCAAATCAGAAGTCTTTCATAGGACTGTTATGCAAAATAACTCAGAATTCAACATTGGAAACTAATTTTTTTGTAAGCCAATTTTAAAATAGGATACCTAAAGATATAGTTTACTAATGAACTGTAATAATTCCTTCACCACTAAGCACATACAAATATATTCAGTATTAATGTGTAGGAAAATATGAATTTTCATTGAAACATCACATTGACCAAGAAGGATGTCTGCAATATAAAAAAAGATAACAAAATACTGGCATGGATGTGGAGAAATGGCATGGCTCATACATGAGCCTCCCTATATAACAAAATTTTAGACTGCATGTATATGTCTACAAGTAAAATTAGGAAAATCTGAATAATTTGTAGTTCTGTCAATACCTTTGATGTACTTTTCGAATAAATTGTCACTTCTCTTTTAAAATATGAGCCATGTTGGGTGATGCACACCTCTAATCCTGGCACTTGGGAAGCTGAGATAGGATGTTTGCCATTAGTTCAAGTGCAGCCTGGGCTACATAGTGAGTTCAACGTAGGTTGAACTAATAGTAAGACATTGTCTCAAAAAACAAATATACCCAGGGATTTAACTCGGTGCCAACACGCCTGCCTCACAAGCACAAGGTCCCGAGTTCTATCCTCACTACCAAAAGATAAATAAACCTTAAAATATAAATTCGTCTAGCAGCTCTCGAAAAAATTTAAACGTTTCATACAAAACCAAGCACGTAATTTACATATCAAAAAGGAAAAAAAATGAAAGTCAAAACATTAGTTTTGTTGGAGATATGTACTAAATGGAGCTCTTTGTTGTGACAGGACAGATGAAAATTGGGGGAGGTTCCTCAAAAAGCACAATTCTTAGAGAAAGGAAAAGATGGAAATACAAGGAGCCACGGCCAATGCAGTTGCAATTTTACTAAAGTGAAAAAGATAAGCTGCTACCTCATTTCTACTGGTTTACAGGGCCAGTTGCCAAACATCCACCGAGTGTTCTTCTGGTCTCTTAAAACATTGGATTGGAGCCAGGGATTTTCAGTGGTGCCGCCACCTTCCTCGAAAGCACAAGGTCGTGAGTTCAATCCCTAGTACAAAAAAATAAATGTTGGATTACTTCGATGTTCTGGGTATAGAGGTAAGCCTTGTGAGAATATGTTGAGAGATACTCTAGGAGCTGGAGTTTTAGCTCAATGGTAGAAAATATTCTTAGGCCAGGTGAAAACTGAAAGGCATACCATAAAGTGACACTTAGAAAAAAATTCTTAGATCATGGTATCATTTAGAAAATTCACATAACTGGCTGAGGCAATAAGTGAATCAGAATATTAAACTCTCAAGACAAAGGGCCCGTGACTCCTCCCAATAAGTAGTGTTCTCTATTTGTTTGTAACCCCAGGGTGTTTCTGTTAATCACAATGTATGTAATCACAGGATGTTTCTGTTAACTTCTTATTTATATATTTCTGCTCTTATTGGAAACCCCTACTTGACCACAGAATATAACAAAGCCTGCTAAGCTTGTGATTTTTCTGGCTGAGTCCCCGGCAAAAATTTTGCGCTTCTAGCTAAATCCCAGTCCTGCAAAGTTCCTGCTTTCGACTATATCTTCACACTAAAAGGTTCCTCTCAACTTCCATTCTCTAGCTATATACACTGACTCCCACTACAACTCTGGGATCAGAAATTTAGAGTACCTAGACTTCTGAATTGGCTGGCCTAATAAAAACTCAATTTTTTTTCATCTCTTCGAGGGACCTTTGGATCCCTGCATCTGTGATTCACAGTAGCTTTAACACTTAGGGTTAGGGAATTGCAGATTTTTTAAATATGTGATGTCTATGCATCTATATTACAAATCTTCAATGGTGGAAGAAGAGTTGGAAATTATTTAAACAGATTTACTTTAGTTTCTCATTGTGTAACCTCAGCGATTTCAAGGAATTTTTTCATGCAACATGATCCATTGTCATTCCTTGATAACCTATTTGAAGAATTTAGGAATTAAAGAGGTCTTATAGGAATCGTTCTGAGGCATGGGGTGCTTTATGTTTACCTTCAGTAGACTTTCATCTTTTGGAGGTGACTTTTCTTTGATTCAGGACTAACTTCATTTGGCTAACGGATGGGCTCATTCATTTCCATGTCATTTGGTTGTTGTGTATTAAAGAACTTCCAATACATTTTAACTTCTAATGTTGTATAGTAGCACAATTACTACAAGTGAATTGTTCAAATGGTCAAAAGTAGAAGTGGAAAAAGAGACACGGTTAAATTCCTTAATGACTGGTGATTGTAAATGCCAGTAACAGAAATTTTGACATGTAACAAATATCTTTTAAGGATTAGCAGAAGTAGTTTTTTGAAAATTTCATACAAATTTAATGTGCATTATAATTGTACCTAAACTAAAATTATTTATAAAAGCCACATGGAAGCCAGGCAACATGGCACACACCTGTAATCCCAGCATTTGAGAGGCTGAGATAGGAAGATCGCTGCAATTTCTTGGCCAGCCTGAATTAAATAGTGAGATCCTATCTCAAACAACAAAAGCACAGGGCCTGGGATTAGGCTCAGTGGTTACACTGCCTTCCTCTCAAGCAAAACGTCCTGAGTTTTATCCCCAGAACAACAAAAAAACACATTGGAAACCCTGTTTCTCACACTAAAATGTATGGTGATTGGAGATTTTTGTGACAGTTTTATTATGTACTTTGGGTTCGCCTTGAATTCATGATGATGCTCCTGCCTCAGCCTTCTGACTGCTGGGATTACAGATGTATGCCATTAAAAATTAACTGCAGCAATGTCACATGATATTAGATCAACACATAAAAATCATTAGCATTTGTGTACACCAACAACAAATGGGATGAGAATATCTGTAATGAATATGTGCAATATCTGTAGAGATAAAACAATTGCCTAGAGGTAAGGGCCAAACTTTATTTTTCTGTGTGTGGATATCCAATTTTTCCATCATCATTTATTGAAAAGATTGTACTTTATCTGTGTTTATAACATCTATGTTAAAAATCAGTTTCCTGTGAATGCATAGGTTTTCTTTAAAGTTCTCAATTTTGTTTTGTTGCTCTCTGTCTATTTTTGTGCCAAACCCCAACATTGCTATTGTTTGCTAGTATATTTTGAAGTCAAGTAGTCCTGTTATTCCTGCTGTGTTCTTGTTCCAAGTTGACATTTGCCATTTGGGTTTTTTGTTGTTATTGCATCATAATTTTAGGATTCTTTTTCTAGTTCTGTGAAGAAAGTCACTGGTATTTTGATAGGGCTTGAACTGATTCCATAACACTTTGGGAATATAGATATTTTAACGTTGACTCTGCAAATCCTTGAACATAGAGAATCTTTTAATTGCTTTGTTTCCTCTTCAATTTCTTTCATCAGTATTTCAGTTCTGATTGTAGAGAGCTTTCATGTGTTTTGTTAAAATGTTTTCCAGGTTTTATTTATAGCTATTGAAAAGCAAATAGCTTTTTTAATTTCTATTTTGGACCATCTGTTATTAACATATGGCAACACTACTGATTTTCATATGTTGGTTTTCTATCCTACACCTTTGCTAAATTTATTTATTTATTTAGAGACAGATTCTCACTATGTACTTCAGGCTAACCTTGAACTCACTCTGTAGGTCAGGGTGGCCTCAAACTCACAGCAATCCCTTATCTCAGCACCTGAGTGCTGGGATTACAGGTGCACACCACTATTCCAGTGTTAAATTCATTTATGAAGTCTCTGTGTGTGTTCACTGTGATTTTCTATATATACAATCATGTCCTTTGCAAATAGGGATCATTAAAATTCTATTCAAAAAATAAATTCTATTTCAATTTGGATGATCTTTTTTTATTTTTGTCTAAAATGGCCGGAACTATGGTTGAGTAAAATTGCTGTAAGTGGTTATCCTTGTCTTGTAATGAAACTCTGAAAGTGTTCAGCTTTTTCTCATTCAGTATAGTGTTAGTTATTGACTTATTATATATGAGATTCATTATACCATGGCATTAGCTTTCCATATAATGTTCCATATAATTAAATGAAGAATATGTTAAATAATTGCATCAGTATGTCATTTTGTATAAGTATACAATTAGATATATAAAATGTACAGCATTGTATAATATTATGTGTAAGATGTAGTATATCATGAGATAAATTATGTATATCATTTATATCACAAAATATGCAAAGTATATAATTTAATATACTGTTAAATATAGTAAGGAAATTGATTTTTTGTCTTATACTATGCAAGGTATTGCATATAACAACATATTTATATTTTACTTTTTAATGCATACTCATTTAAATACAAGTGTGCTTGGGGCTGGGGATTTAGCTCAGTGGTACCATGCTTGCTTCACAAGCAAAAGGTCCTTATATAATTATATAAAGAGATATAAGTGAGATTTGTATTATATAAATGAATTTTTAGAGAATGCTATTTAATTAAAATAATCACATGTAAATACATGTAATATTGAGTTATTACTTTTGCTTGTGTATATAATGTATACTATGAATCATGTATGAACCTATACCATATAACATTCACATGCTACATATATCATTTCCGCATGCCTTACATATGTATCATATTATATAACATGACTAGCATGTATGATGTCATATAAACAATATATGTTGGGCCAGAGATTTAGCTGAGTGATGCCGCTGCCTGCCTTGCAAGCACAAAGACCCGAGTTTCATACCCGGTTCAAAACAATACAGAACAAAAAAAACCTATATATGATAAAATTACATATAATATATGATAAAATACATAATATTATTAGGTGAATACATTTACTAATAGTAAATTCAAATCATTCTTTGTGTTAATCTATCATATACTGTCCATCATGGCTTGATATCAATTGAACTTTACCCAAGTTCTTTGATGCTGTATTTCTACTTGTATATACTACCATGGTATAACATTTAATGAATATATAGTTTATTGCTTGTATGGTAAACTTATACAACTGACAGTGTATTTTACATTATATATTTCTTGAGATATAACATCAGAATATATGTAATATATTATTTAATATAATAGTGCCTAAAATGACATATATAACATAATATTTTTAAATGCTTTCCATGATTCTCAATTACATGTCTAATTATATATTAAATGTAATTAAACATAACCATTCTTTGTATTTAATATATAATACATGGAATCATTAAATCACAGAAAATTTATAGTGTATATTTCACTGGTTATATAAAATAATACTACATGTAACAATTATATATACATTGCTTCATATAATTGTACATGTTTAACACATGTAACTGTTCAACACATGTAACTGTTCATTGTTTATACTAAATGTATAAACTGTAGTTTAATTAATTTTAATATATATCATAAGTTATTGCACTAATTTGTTATTTAACATATATGAGATTTAATATACATTACCTAAAATGTTTGACAGTATATTATGAAATGTTTATAACATATGTACTGAAGTATTATATACAATGTTAATATTTAAAGTATAAATCTTCCTATATAAAAAAATACACTATATATAGTATCATATAGTATACCTTTATATATTATGTAATATGATCATGTCTTTTACCATAAATTATACACCACATAAAATTACATAGTCCATATACCATTACATAGAAAAATGAATATTCCATGATTCCATAATAAACTAATCAAAATTTATATTGCCTATTATGCTTTACCCATATTATGTATTACATTTATAATACAGCACATAAGGACATATTTAATACACTTTCCATATATGGTGGTACCTCAATTCACAAATGCTTTTGTTTGCGAACAGTTTAATTCACAAATATAACCATATAGCAAAATTTTGTTTTTATTTGCAAACTTTGTATAGTGTGATGAACATGACTTGAGGCCATCTTTCTGGCACAATGACAAATGTGGCCATCTTTTTCAGAAATGTAGAATGAATTAAGTTAGTGAAGCAATGCATCACTGTATATTAAAATTATATTTACTTATCTGTGATTTTCATATGTTTAAATATGTCACTATGGATATATAAGAACATAAACATAT